TGTATTTTAATCAATCAAAAGTACTTTACTAAAGGCACGGGGCCCCACTGCCTGGGAATTCTGTGCTTTTAGTGTATACACATCGATTGTACATTAATAAAGGTGATCCCCAGGCATAGCATTATATTGGTCAGTCGTCTGTTAGCCTACAGTCCCTATGGTAGACTTATGTTACATGGTACTCATACAACAGTTGATACAGCAATTTCCATAACAGAGACGTTATTGGAGGATTATACAATGGCGCAAGTTAAAGAGAATGAACGTTCTAGCCCCGCAGTTTGGAGAACTTGTACGTTGATTTGTATCCAAACTGTCTAWTACAATATAAATATAAATTGCAAGCATGCATTATGATGTYCAGACGGGTCAGAGTTTCACAGATWCTGRTCATACCTACCTCTACATATATACATAATGATTGGTGGACTGTATGGCCCAGGCCCAGCACTTGTATACGCTCTTACTGATACATCATAACGTCCACACACCAAAAGATTAGGGATTGTATATTGGTTGTTTTGACTTGAARCGATGTCCGTTTTAGTCTGACAGGGTAAAAACTCTTTTATCTCAGGATGTTGGCATAGAAGTCTCCATTTTACTTGATGTTTAGTTATAATACCGTAACTAAGGCTTAGAGGCAGACTSTTCCAATGTAAAACGAATGTCGAATCGTTTATCCTATTCACTGWTGTGTTTGCAGGAGGAAAACCTGGTGCTATTTTCAAAAAAATAAAAAATAAAAAACATTCGTGAATACTGAACTTATTGTGCTAAGCTAGTTTATAATGAGTGAATAAAAGGCAACGCTTTGGCTATTGTTCGTTAAGTAGGTATCAGTTTGGAAATCTGCAACAATTATGAAAATTTGAGGGGTTGCGAACTTAACTGTAATTTGTAATTTGCCCGTAATGGTAAAGTGTCTGTATATGTAAGAATGGAGAGGACAACGGACATGGGAGGACAACGGAAACATTTAAGAGATATAGTCCTTTTTTACAGAGCCAGGAAGACTAAAATAAAAACGAAAGGCGCGAATTGATTTGGTTTAAAAAATSAAAGRATATTACTATATCCATCTATMCAATGTACTCCGCCTCTCCCCRGTGGCGGCCGGATCCAGGGGTRGTTCTGTGGGTTCCATGGAACCCCTTTTTTGTGAGATCTTGTGAAKCCMCGTTCTTTACACTCAGTAGAATGAAATCGGAACACCCTTTTGCGAAGTCAATCTTACCAGCTTTTWCTGAGTGGCGCMCATTTTGGAACCCCCCTTTTTWAATTCAAGGATCCGCCACTGCTCCYCCTAATAAATGCTCYCTAATATYAWKTCTTACGGTAAGCAGGAACAACCAGGTCTTCTCCATCSTGATAAGGCCCATCTTTATTGGTGTACGCATTKACTTTGAACGAGAAAGTTGTTTCYCCRATAACATCAATGGTATGGAAGTATGTRCGCTKTCCTCCATCTGGTATGATTTCATATTTCTTTTCCGTAGCGTTATCTTTGTTGTAGAAGTARACTAGTGAGTATTTCYGGATCACACCATTTTTTTCACGAGGTTCATCCCATCTAATTTCAACACGCGGTCCAAGGGATCCATTAGCGGGTAACAAAGTGCGATTAACATTCACTGGGGCAGAGGGAGCTGCAAGTATATAATGAAGATATGGCGACCAATTTGAAAAACTATTGTTCTGGACTGAATAGCCTCTCATACGTGTAAAAACGCTTCTATGCTATCTTTCCACGTGAACGCAAGTTTAGTCAGTCCAGAGCAATAGTTATTCAAGTTAGGCGCCATATTTGCATAATTCCATAATTCCATAAAGCATTTTTAGAACTCTTGCGGTGTTATGTCTTACCATCTTCTTGTGTTCTTGCTGACAATGATTCCTTACTTAGCGGCCCATCTTTGACAGTGTACGCCGAGACATGAAAAGTATACCACGAAAATTTCTTTAATCCAACGATGTCTGCTGTAGTTGTGCCATTGTAATTGATATGAAATGTTGTTATATCCTTTCCATTCTGTTGATATTTTATTTTATATCCACGTACAATTCCATTGATACAAGGTAACCTTGATAGTCGATTCCAACTTACTCGAATGATTGTTGAAGAAAGAACATGAGTAGACTTGAGTTCTGGAGAGCAATTGGGAGCTGCGAATTTTAGGAAAATTAGAGTACTTACTTTTTTTATTTATTTTAAAGACACTAAAGATATTTGTTGCAAATGTACATATATATTTATAGGTTAAAAAACACATACCGTCTTCAGCCGTTCTGATTACGAAGGCATTACTCAGTGGCCCTTCTCCAATAGTATAGGCCAGCATTCTAAAGCTATAATTGGTGTATTTACGAAGTCCTGACACATTCCTACTGGTAGACAAGCGATCATCTGTGATATTGATAGACTGTACTGTGCTGTTACCAAGTAGACTGTACTGGATGATATAACCTCGTAATATACCGTTTAAACACGTGGGGTCCTGTTGCCAAGCCATAGAGATGCTCGTAGAGGATACAGCTTGTATTTTTGTGATGACAGGAGAACATTCTGGAACTGCAAATAAATATTAATACATCACGAAATTGACAATTAAAGAATGATTATCAAAAATAAAAGATTATTACAAATATTTTGCTGCCATTTTATATTTTGTTATTTGCACTTTATTAAGTATGATATTTACATGTAGATATTTATAAAAAAAGAAAAATAAAGTAAGCATTAATAATATTTTTTTCCACAGTGTGCGAATCGAAAAACCGTTGGCACCTAGAAATACTCTAGGAATGTTCTATTCTTCTTTGCCCAATTGGAATTGACTTTCTAACCACAAGATAACAGAAAGGTAACAATAACGCTTCTGATTGGCTATTGCACATTCTTGAAATATTTCTAGGTACCCACGGTTTTTCGATTCGCACTGTAAAGATCTAAATACATTAATAGAGAAGAGTGCCGGTAAGCTGGATTAACTAAAGTTTTCGAGCCAGCTTACCATAAGAAAAATTTGCCTGAGGTATATAATTTAATAAAAAAGTGAATAGTCACGCAATCTATTCATCCTTCGTCAACTCGATGAGGTACAGAGAACGCGTACCGTGTTTAGTTTTGCAGGCCATTAATGTTGAAGCATCATTTTTGACAGTAAATTTTTCTTGGTCATTCCCTTCCCGATAACCTGCACCTTATACGGTAACCCTTCAATATTCCATTTCCGCATTCATCAAAAAATAACTACGCGTTAAAAAAAACCTACCGTCTTCAGCAGTTCTCATGATGGAAACATTACTCAGTGGTCCTTCTCCAATAGTATAGGCCAGGATTCTAAAGCTATAAATGGTGTATTTCTGAAGTCCTGACACATTCCTACTGGTAGACAAGCGATCATCTGTGATATTGATAGACTGTACTGTGCTGTTACCAAGTAGGCTGTACTGGATGATATAACCTCGTAATATACCGTTTAAACATGTGGGGTCCTGCTGCCAAGCCATAGAGACGCTCGTAGATGATACAGCTTGTATGTTTGTGATGACAGGAGAACATTCTGGAACTGCAAATAAATATTGATACATTACGAAATTGAAAATTAGAGAATTGATGGGTTGCAAGCATTCCCAAGAGAGTTAAAACACAAAAACATGGCGGCCATTGTGGTACCGTTAATAATGGTGCTAATGAGAAATATTTTGTTAAATGATACCAACATGGCCGCGATGACGTAACGTGCAGCTAACGAAGAATAATTATCGAAAATAAAAGATTATTATACATATTTTTTTGCCATTTTATAACAAAATAGTCGTGAATCTTTAGAATATACAGACAAAAACGAGGAAAAGGTAAAAAAAGAGGTAAAAAGGGATTTTCAATTTTATAGCTAAGTTATCTGAGATTCCATATTTAGTTTCTTGTCTTCTTAGACGAAAATGTCCATATTAGTGTAAAACGCAAAAGTATCCCAATAAATTGTGCTTCGTCAACTCCATGAGGTACGTACTATCTTCTGCATTTCTTTTTGTCAACTGGTTGCTCCATGGACCATTAGTTACAGTGTAGGCTGATACAGAGAACGCGTACCGTGTGTATTTTTGCAGGCCATTAATGTTGAAGCATTGACATTATTGACTGCAAAATTTCCTTGGTCTTTCTCTTCCCGATAACATGCACCTTATAAAATAGGCTGTTGCGACGTATAATGTTTGGCCGCGGGCTTCCTGGGGAAGGGCTGTTTCGTAGGGCCCGGGGGGGAGTGAAAGTGAGGAGTTGAGAGAGAGGAGTTGACTGTTATACGGAAAGATGTCGAGACTGTCCTAGAATCCCCTCGGGACAGCCATAAAAATGTGTAAGTAATTGTTTGAGTTTGTTAGAAGTTTATTGACATTTTGATGACTATAAGTTTTTGATTCTACAGCGAATCGTGTATTCTTGTGAACCTATATTCGTGTGAACGTGTAAACGATTACGAAGGAAATATGTGATTGAAGGACGAACCACGTTGAATAAAACCGTTGAAAATACACGCATATCGACCTAATCCCGAGGCAGAGCCCTGAAAAGGCCTACATAGGCCTTCAATATTCCATTCCCACACTCATTAATACTTACCGTCTTCAGCAGTTCTGATGAAGGAGGCATTACTCAGTGGTCCTTCTCTAATAGTATAGGCCTGAATTGTAAAACCATATTTGGTGTATTTCTGAAGTCCTGACACATTCCTACTGGTAGACAAGCGATCATCTGTGATATTGATAGACTGTGCTGTGCTGTTACCAAGTAGACTGTACTGGATGATATAACCTCGTAATATACCGTTTAAACAAGTGGGGTCCTGTTGCCAAGCCATAGAGATGCTCGTAGATGATACAACTTGTATGTTTGTGATCGCTGGAGAACATTCTGGAACTACAAAATAAATGTTATACATGACGAAATTGACAATTAAATAATGATTATAAAAAATAAAAGATTATTACAAATATTTTGCTGCCATTTTATATTTTGTTATTTGCATTATAGTCAGTATGGTATTTACATAAAAATATTCATAAAAGAAAAAAAATAAAGTAAATATTGAAATTGTTTTTCCCACAGTGCGAATCGAAAAACTGTGGGCACCTAGAAATATTATAGGAATGTTCTATTCTTCTTTAGCGTATTTTAATTGGCTATTGAACATTCTTGAAATATTTCTACGTGCCCACGGTTTTTCGATTCGCACTGTAAATACATCTATATAGAAGAGTGCCGGTAAGCTGGAGTAACTAAAGGTTTCCAGCCAGTTCACCATAAGAAGAATTTGTGTGAGGAATACGATTTTAAAAAGTGAATAGTCATGCAATCTAATATATATATTTAGGCACTGCCTAAAAGCGGAGCTCCCGATACAGAAGTCACAGTGAGAACAATTTGAATGAAACTGAAACGGTAAAAATAAGATCGGGGGAAAAATTTTCAATTATTTTTTATTCGCGATGAAGATAATTTTTCCCATAATAAAAACTATGCAGTGAAATCGAATATTGAAATGCACTACCTTGTTTTCTTTGCGCGAATATAATGCCGGTCCCACTCAGGAATTTTGTTTACAACTCACCACCACCCCCAGGAGCTAGTTTTGTTCTTGGAAGATTTTTCGACAAAGTTTTCCAAAGCCGACAGTTTTAGGCTTTGAATCTCTTTTACTTGAAAAAAACGAAAGATAACTACAGATGATGCAATACAATATCAAGTTTAGTGAAATTTACCTCGGATGTCTTTCATTGAAATCGAAAATCTGGAGATTTAGGGCAAATCAAGACCAAAAAACAGAATTGAAAACTGGTTAAGGTGAGCAGAAAATATGCTTACTTTAATTACGTCTTTTACAGAACGAGACGAATTAAGTTTACATTCAATTAAACTTGGCAAGAACAACTGAGACAAAATAGAAAATAATGCAAAAGGCAATGCAAAATACAAAATGATGAATTTCTTGTCAGTAAATTGGTGTTTGTAAATGTTTTTGAATATTTTTTAGCTTTTTAAAGTGAAAGTCTAGGTCTATACAATAACATCTTTCAACAACACAAATTTAAGCTCATTTTTATAATCATACTTGCTCGAACTGCGAAATAAAAGTTGAATATTTGGTGTAAATTTATATCTCATTCAATGGTTAAATAAATTATCTGTAGAAAGATATAAAATTATTGAATGAAAGTCTTCTTTGTTTTGCCGATGGGTTCCCGTGATAGGAAGCGAACAAAGCTGCTTTTTCTTGAACGAAAAACATACAATAGTTGGTTAAAAACAACCGAATKRTTAAAGATTTACAAAGCTAAATAAAGGACGAATATTTGTTGTCGTAATATGCTATCCGTCGTGTTATTTTTCCTCCAGCATTAACATAAATTAAGCTTATCTATAGAAATATATAACGTTTTGAGAGAAAGTCTTCGATTTGTCGATTCGTCGAGAAAAATGCTTGCCAAAAAAAAATATATATATATATATATATTGTTTGCTAAAAAAAACACACACCTGAATTCTTGAAGAACACTTCTTGATCCATCTTTGACTACATGAAAGCTTTTTAAAATTGTTTTTGGTCTATTACTTGTCCTAAAGTGATTTTTTTCTGTGCATTTAGGCGCATTTGTGAGTAGTTTTGCTTTGACATCAAGCGGGATTCCTGTGTTGTGTACATGGACGGACGGACGTACGGACGTACGGACGGACGGAAGTGACGTCAGCCAAGCCATGAAAAATCATCTCGATGGTTCACCATTTTTTCTTAAGTATTGTTTACCATTTTTTCTTAGGTATGGTGCAAAATGCCCTTGGTCTTTCTCTTCCCGATAACCTGCACCCTATAAGGTAGGCCTTCAATATTCCATTCCCACACTCATTAATACTTACCGTCTTCAGCAGTTCTGATGAAGGAGGCATTACTCAGTGGTCCTTCCCCAATAGTATAGGCCAGGATTCTAAAGCTATAACTGGTGTATTTCTGAAGTCCTGACACATTCCTACTGGTAGACAAGCGATCATCTGTGATATTGATAGACTGTACTGTGCTGTTATCAAGTAGACTGTACTGGATGATATAACCTCGTAATATACCGTTTAAACATGTGGGGTCCTGTTGCCAAGCCATAGAGATGCTCGTAGATGATACAACTTGTATGTTTGTGATCACTGGGGAACATTCTGGAACTTCAAATGAATATTATACATGATGAAATTAACAATTAAAGAATATTAAAAATGGGATGTTCCTTCATTTCAGAGCCCGCCAAGCTGGCAGGCGTTGTCATACCTTCAGCAGCAATAGTTTTGGCATTGATCCAGTTGCTCCATACTCCAGCTCCATCACTCCTTAACATCCCTTTTAGTCGAACACTGTACTCAGTGTAGGGCTTTAGACTAGTTAAGTTGTATTCCATTGTGTCATTTGATAAATTCAAGCTTTCTATCCTACTTTTGTTCTTAAACTCCATCAAGTATGATACTACTTGTACTTTATCCATAATTCTCCAAGTCATCTGTAACGACCTTTGATGTGGAACGATGTCGGGTCCGTCTGTTTGCAACAAAATGTATTTCAGAATTATCATTTGAAGTATCGCGATTGAAAGGAAAAGATCGGTATGAAAAATCTGGTATAATGTATGGATGCAACTACCAGACCAGCAGGTGCAAGGAAGTGTGAATTAAGTTCTTACATGCCATATTCAATACAAACTGTCGATATATTAGAAAATCAGGCGGGTGAAGGAAATACATATTTTACCAATCTAACATTATAACATTTAGACTCTCAATTTCAGTATCTAAAGTTTGAATGTGCTTACCGAGATACGAAGTAAAAACCTCTACACGCATCGTTTTATGAATGTGGTAAGCTGTCGGTACAAACCGGATGTATCTCGCTGACTGTAGGTTCTGTAAGCAACGTATCTCAACAGTTGACATATCACTGTTACCTTGAAACATCTAAAAAATGAATGCAGAAATGATTAATTACGTGTGCTTTCCGAAACTCTTTTGAAGTTTATAATTCACAATTATCGCCATAGTAATTCGATGGAACGGTAAAATAAAAATTATCCTCAGCTTTTATCGAAGCCATATAAACAAACTATGGAATAACCAAAGTCAGGCCAATACTAATTCATACATCGAATTGGAATTTAGCTTGTTAGGCTAGGTTTAATGCTGAGGGAGGGCGGAATTAAAAAAAACTCTCGTGAAGCCAGCGGGAGAGATCACGAACAAAACCAGTTTATTCACCTGCGATGCCCAGTCCAAAAATCGAGCCCGAGACTGCACAAGGTAAACGGTGAGTGTACTACAGCTACACCACCATTTATTCCCAATACAATTACGTTATTTTAAAACAATTAACGAACAAATTGAGATTTCGGTCACATTTTTTGGTTTTTAAATTTTAAATCGACTTATGATCCTTTGGCGCCATAAGTTGTGTTTGAGTGTCATTATAAGTTAACAAAACTGAGTATTATGAGAAACAGGAAAAAATAACATTCTTTTTTAGATAAGCAATAAAATACTTGGTTTATGTATGCACATTACAATGGGCGCTGGAAATGACCAATCACACTTTAAAAGTTAGTGCACCGTTGAGGGTGTATAGTTTTGCAGACGATCCTAACCGAGGGTTTTCCTTCAGATGAAAGGTACGATAATGTAAAATGAATAAGTAAAATCCATCAATTATAGAAGTTCTGTCTGATCAACAATCAGGAAACCCCTGCGTACCTTTTCCGTTCCATTTTCTTGGTATGTATCCCAAAAAGCACCACGCTTTGACAAATGAAGCTTGTATTGCGTCACCCATTCGTTATAATATCTACCACCTTGTGTTGCTACACCACACACTTCAATTAACCGACCAAGGTCAATCTGCAGGTAATCTTGATCGTTGTCTACTGTACTGGGTGCCCATCCAAGTGAGCCGTGTAGTCTACCATATATTGGTTTAAAACGTGAATCATAATAAGAGGATGCTGTTAAACTGCTGTCAGGAATGGCTGACCTGTACTGTATCCCAACAGGGTTTCTCTCACATCCTAAAGTGAAGTGGGAATCTTAATGTTAGTGAAAATGAAAATGATTTTTTTAAAGGCTGTTCATCTCGATTCAGTTATCAAAGATAGCCTTTTTTTATTATTTAAACTTATTATTTTCAATTGCATTAACCCCAAGAGCGAAAGCGCTCATCTGTGGGGGATCTAAGTAAGATCATAGCGCTAGCCTTTTAATATATAACTGACAAGCCATATCAAAGCACATTTCAAGACTTTATTTCTAATCCTCACAGACGAGAAAGCCGAACTGGAAATCCCTTAAAAAACATCTCAATCTCGGTGTTATTTTACTGATTCAGAACAAATTACCAAATTACCTGACAAATARACTTATTTCTCCATTATTATTACCTTTGAAAATCCACTAGTGTGTGGGTTTTTTTTTTTTTCTTTCTTTCCTTTTTCCCTTTTTTTCTTCTTCTCAATTTCTTTAATGCCCAAAACAAATGAAAACAATTTTAGAGGCAAACGCTCCTCCTGCCCTCTGACTTCGAGGATGGAGTATATTGTTGCTTTCTCAGATGGCGAATAATGCACGACTCCAGGTAAAAAAATATAATTTTATTTTGCCACAAATGCAGGGAATTATTGCAGGGAATTATTGCTATTATTATTGCTATTATTATTGCTATTATTATTACTATTA